GACAAACCCTCGAAATCCCACGCAGTTTTGAGAAAAAAATTCGAGCATGTGGACAAATTTTTCGACAAAATTAAAATTTTCAAATCATTCTGCAAAAATTATTTTCGGTTGCGGGGGTCGATTGCAATCATTATTGGTGAATAGACGTACCCCCGAAATCCCACGCAGTTTCGAGAAAAAAATTCGAGCAGGTGGACAAATTTTTCGACAAAATTAAAATTTTCAAATCATTCTGCAAAAATTATTTTCGGTTGCGGGGGTCGATTGCAATCATTATTGGTGAATAGACGTACCCCCGAAATCCCACGCAGTTTCGAGAAAAAAATTCGAGCAGGTGGACAAATTTTTCGACAAAATTAAAATTTTCAAATCATTCTGCAAAAATTATTTTCGGTTGCGGGGGTCGATTGCAATCATTTTTGGTCAATAGACATACCCCCGAAATCCCACGCAGTTTCGAGAAAAAAATTCGAGTAGGTGGACAAATTTTTCGACAAAATTAAACAATTCCAAATCGGTCTGGAAAAATTATTTTCGGTTGCGGGGGTCAATTATAATAATTTTTGGTGAACAGACATACCCCCGAAATCCTACCCACTTTCTAGAAAAAAATTCGAGAAGGTGTGAAATTTTTCGACGGAAAAAAAAAATTCCAAATCGTTCTGAAAAAATTATGTTCAGTTGCGAGGTTCAATTACAATCATTTTTGGTGAACAGACATAACCCCGAAATCTTGCGCAATTTCGAGAAAAAAATTCAATACGGGTGGAACTTTAAACGTTAATAACTTTTTAACGAAGATTCGATCAACAAATTGGTATTCTTGATTTTCGTTGTATTTTGGCCTCCAGAATCTCCCATTAAAATCTTTCCCAGGGTCAATTACAATCATTTTTGTATATGAATTATAAATGAATATTCTCTATATAAATGAATAATTAAGATTGTAGGCGATTTAATTGCGAACGGTGGATATGCCTCGAGCGAACGTGAAGTTGTACGGAAACAAAGCGAAACAAAGAATCGCTTTGACACGAAGGAACCTCGTTGCCTCGATCTCGTGGCGGATAATTGTCGCGTAGGATTTCATTCCCGTGGCTCGGATAAACCGACGGCTGGAATGGTGTCGGAAATAACACGATCTTCGTACGATTCGAAAGAATACACCGTCTTCTAAATTGACCCGCGTGGCTCCGGTCACCGCACGAATTTATGCAATTTATGCGGTGTCTCGGTGTTATGTGAAAGTGTTGCGTATGCATCGCACGACGAGTTTTCGATTGTTATTCAGCCCGTTCGACAAATTCTTTTCCGTCTCGTGTTACGTAAACAGGTAAAAGTAGTCGGGATTTTGCTTCTCTTTTCGTCGCCGGAAACGATCGCAGACGAACCAAATGTAAGTACCGTTACGCGTAACCTGATCCTCCATATCGCCATTTGCTCGTCTCGCGAACGGACGAAAAGGACAACGTTGCCATTGCCTCTATGTAATTTACCGAGGGATCCAAGGTGCAGCGCGAGATTAAATGGGGAAAATATGTTTGTAGGTCGCTCGAAACTTGCCTGCGAGTCGAGAGCATCGTAAATCACGCGAGTTCATCCGACGGATGACTTTCTCGGTTTTCGAAGCGAAGCGCGTTTTTAAGGCCAAGGAACCAACGTACGTCCCGACCATTTTCACCAATTTCTATTTAGAAACGTCGTCTTTACTTCGTCGAGCTTGTATTCGCAAGTTTCTATTGAAAAAATTCGTCGGAAACAAACGTTCGACAAAATCCGTTTTGACCCGACGCTTTCTAATTTGCTTCCCATCGGTCGGTACGAAAGATCGATGTTCGATATTCGATACGAGTCTCACCGAAAACGGATCGATCCATTGAACATTGTAACGTGCGCGCGGACAAGTATCGTTCGAACTCGCGGACAGATCGGGGAACGCAAAGTCCCTTTCGAAATTTCACGTCCGTGCCTCCGGCGTTGCTTCCTCGAGATTTCGTAAGGCTCGTAACGTATGCAAAATTCGTTGCACGTCGGCCGTGCATCGATGCGAGAAATCTATCGCGCAATCGGCAGACGCGTTTATTTTAAAAACATTGGCCAAGTTTACCTCTGTACCTCTCTCGGTTCGAATTAATCCGCCGATGTTTACGCGCGTTCGTATAAAATAGCACGTGAACTTGTCCCGAATAACACACGCGTGTTTTATCGAACGAACGCGAATTCGAATCGACGGGATCTCGTGTCGACCGAGACGTTCACTGTCCGAGATCTTCCACGCGAAACCGAATGATCGGGTGAAATACGGGAGATTAGGGAAATCTATTTGATGTTTACCGTGTGCGCGTCGTCGTGCACGGAGAGATGGAAGGACGACAGCGGAGTGCATGGATCAGAACGCCCGAGCCGTCTGAACGTCTTCCTCGCACTGACCGCCGCGCGGCCAGAGACGACAGACGAGGACCTCTGGCTGACCAGTCGAGCAACATCGCGCCGCCAACGCACACTCCACGCCAGTGGTTCTCACCGTGACGGTTACAAAATCCACGAAACTTCTTGTTCCCGTCGCCAGAGTGGGGCCGGAGTCGCTTTAATTTGACCGTCGCGTCGATCGTCTTCCGCGTACGAGGAACCCTTGCTTACCGAGATTCACCGACCATTCGCGATCGTAATTCTATTCCGTGTCCGTTACGTACGCCTCCGGTCCAATCGAACGAGACGGATCTTCGACTCGTCGGGAACTGTCGCGGGATAATCTCATCGGTTCTGAATCATCCAACGATCCGTACGCTGTTCTCCGCGACCGCACGGAATAGGCAATCTTGTCTCATGCATAATTTCTAGCACGTAACGCAGATTCCATCTACGTGGACGTACCGTGAAGTCATTACAATTTGAACGCGAATGATAATGGTATGTGATGGGCTTATTGGAATATGTATTTACATTTAACGCGTACGTGTTTATGGTGATACGACTAGAATCGGACGAAACCACGGACCGACTGCATTCTCGCTGGAGCCCAAACGGTTCCTTCGCGTTCGCTACGGTTCCAAATAAAATGTATCTTGGTGTTCGTTGGATCAGTTTTGTTCTTCCGTCTCCTTTTACTTTTCGAAGCAGTCTCCGCCATTTTCTTCTCTTCTCTTTAACCTTATACGACGATTGGAAACTTTTAAGTCGCCAATTAATATTCTCCAGGTTCTATTTATTCGATTTACCCCGTAATAATCTTAATCCGGAGAAATCATCGTCGGGCGCGAGCATTACTTTCGCGTTACTCGCGAGATTCGATGCTTCCTAGATTACAAATCGTGTTTCGCGTTTAGGGGAGGGCTTAAAAATAACGTTGCCGAGCATCGTTCGGCGATCAAGACCCAGTTGCATTTTACACGGAGCCAGCCATTTTAACCGGTGTCGCATGAATTTATTAGCAAACTAGTTGTAGAAAAAAAATGTTTCAGCGAAAGTTGTTGTACGCAGTGTTTACGACTGTTTCCGGTGACGTGCGATTTCCAATTTTTCGTAAAGAGATCGTTTCTCGGATTTATTTATTTATTTACAGTATATCGCCTTCGATGGAAAGAACAAGCGAAATAAAGATTGTACTTTGTACACCGAGAGGCAAAGCCTATCGAGGTCACGCGCCGTGAATAATACAATAATGGACGCTAGACATTAGCAGGGATCTTCTGCTAATTTCTATAATCTGTATGCAAAATTACGTCACGGGGGGAAAAAAAAAAAGAAAAATTGTTGCAAAACGTCGACGATTGATGGATCGATGGTTACGTTACCAAGCATTTTCGTTTTTGTCTCGGCCACCTTCGCGACGATCAGCGATCAAATTTACTCGCAGATGCAACATCGAATTCATTTGTACTTGGTTGACCGTGTTTGCGGATTGAGATTATATCTCTAATAAATTCCCAGCGTTTGCAAACATATTGGAATAGTCGGTGCCAACGCTACCAATAATAATTTATTTTAAAACGGCTTATAGATATTACCACCGATTACTAAAATGGTCGTGTGGCGTCGCCTCCCACGCTCGCCACCAGAGGGATCGCGTTCTCACAAGCGCTCGACTGACCCTTCGGTTGCTATATACAGGGTATCTGGCCAACCGTGGGAAAAATTTTAATGGGGAATTCTAGAGGCCAAAGTAAGACGAAAATCAAGAATACCAATTTGTTGATGGAGGCTTCGTTAAAAAGTTATTAACGTTCAAAGTTCCTCCCGTACTGAATTTTTTCCCCGAAAATGCGCCAGATTTCGGGGGTATGTCCATTCGCCGAAAATGATTGTAATTGACCCCCGCAACCGAAAATAATTTTCCCATAACGATTTGAAATTTTTCTTTTTCGTCAACAAAATTTAATAAGGAATTTTTTTCTCGAAAGTGCGCAGGATTTCGCGGGTATGTGTAATAACCAAGAATGATTATAATTGACCCCCGCAGCCGAAAATAATTTTCCCATAACGATTTGAAATTTTTCTTTTTCGTCAACAAAATTTAATAAGGAATTTTTTTCTCGGAAGTGCGCAGGATTTCGCGGATATGTGTAATAACCAAGAATGATTATAATTGACCCCCGCAGCCGAAAATAATTTTCCCATAACGATTTGAAATTTTTCTTTTTTGTCAACAAAATTTAATAAGGAATTTTTTTCTCGAAAGTGCGTAGGATTTCGAGGGTATGTGTATTCACCAAATATGATTGTAATTGACCCCCGCAGCCGAAAATAATTTTTCCAAAACGATTTGATATTTTCTTTTTCCGTCGAAAAATTTCACACCTTCTCGAATTTTTTTCCAGAAAGTGGGCAGGATTTCGGGGGTATGTCTATTCACCGAAAATGATTGCAATTTACCCCCGCAACCGAAAATAATTTTTCCAGAACGATTTGAGATTTTTGAATTTAATTGTTAATAACTTTTTAACGAAGCCTCCATCGACAAATTGGTATTCTTGATTTTCGTCTTATTTTGGCCTCTGGAATCTGCCGTTAAAATTTTTCTGTCCTACGAATTCTCCGCGTCTTACCCGCAGCGAAGTAACCACGCTACAGTCGTGTACTTATTTTCAAGTCCAAGTATTTTCTCGCGTTTCGAAAATCGTCGACTTCCTTGAGCAAAAATCATACAGATACCCTTCTAATAATATTCCACACGAATAATCGATGCTCGTTAATTATGAAATTTTCTAAAATGCTAGTGCACCAGGTTTCTAACCGAAATGTCAAGAGTGCGTCGTCGGTGTTAAAGGTGTTAGATGATCGATCGTTAGGTGTGAAATTCATCGATTCGTTACGCAAGAAACAGGTCCGCGTGTTTCAGGGCAATATCTCGGTTTAAACATGCATACTATCACGATCGGATCGTTACAACGTCCACCATTTTTCTAACCAACTCGCTGTCGGTCACCATCGCGCAATTCTCCTTGCTCGAGCCAATTTTAATTCTGTTCCCTCCGGCGAAAACCGCCCTCTTCTTAGCGGAAGCGTGGAATTCCTTCGCCCCGGAGACGCTTTTCACTCTCAGAATATTATCCTTAGTAATCCCGGAACCTGGCATAATAATAATCTTATCTCGAGCCCTTTCAACGAGCCGTTTTATCAACTCAAGACCTTCGTCAGCCGTGTCCCTCTGACCGGAAGTTAAGACTCTCTCGAAACCGAGCTTTATCAAGGTGTCCAATGACTTTATGGGGTCGTTGACCTCGTCGAAAGCTCGATGAAATGTAACTGGTAAAGGACCAGCGGCGGACAGAACGCTCTTACAAAATTCTTCGTCGACTTCGTTGTTCGACGTCAACGCCCCGAACACGAAACCGTCTGCGCCGTGATCCTTGAGGATTTTTAGATCTTGTAACATCACGTCCATGTCTTCTTCCGTGTACGCAAAGCCACCGGCGCGTAATCGAAGCATCACGTAGATGGGTACCGGCGAGAAGCTTTTGATTTTTCTTACGAGACCAGGTGTCGGGGTCAAACCACCCTCGGACAAAGATACGCAGACTTCGAGCCTCGTTGCACCACCCTCGATCGCGTTTCGCGCTGATTCGAGGCAGTCGATACAAATTTCCATCTGAATACAGTTTAATGGAAGAGTGTACTGTAGTATATTCGGCCGTTGATACGATATAACATATACGAGCAATTTTTTAAATATTTTTATTCAAGTACTTACCGTTTATTCATAAGATAGATTCATAAGATAAATGAATCGAAAGTTTCCAATGGCGTTGTCAATTTCGCGGCGAAACGCAGAGGAATGAAAGTCACTAGGAATATGTTACTAAGAAGACGCCAAATCGCTGACCTCTGTACACGTGCTTAACGGTACATGTTCTGGTTAGAAAAACGGATCTCTCTTAAATTCCTATAAATATATATTACTTAGTTTTTACATTGAAGTTATTCCTAAAAACAAATGCCGAAACGTTAAAAATCTTAATATTCCCCAAGAATGTCAAATACCGGCACGTGGCATTCAAATAAACGTATTGTTACATAATCAATATTTACCCTCTTTGTTCCTTGTTTCTTGCAAACATTTATTACACGTAATCGTATTTCTATATTAAAAGCACGGCACGTATCGTGGTAAAACCAATCGAGCACGTCAATTGTCAAACGAAGAGCATAGAGTACAGTCACAGAGTAACATACTCGGTGGTAGAGCCGCGCTCGCGATCATTGCGCCACGGAACTGTCGCGGTAGAACCTGAAACAGCTGGAAAGTCCTGAAACAATTGGAAAGTCCTGAAACGGCTTAAAATTTTGGAAACCCCGGGCCAGTTGGAAAGTCCTGAAACAGCTGGAAAGCCCTGAAACAGCTGGAAAGTCCTGGAATTTCTTGGAAACACTGAATTTTTAGCAAAGTTCTGAGTTTCAGGACTTCCGAGGTGTTTCAAGACTTCCTAGTGGGTTCGGGGAAACCAAGAAGTTTCAGGGAGTCTTATAACTAAGGTAATGATTTGAAGAGGAAGAGAAAGGTAAAAAATGATGAGAACACATAGAATTCTTTGAAATTATAACATTTATTGCCATAGATTTACATTTACAAAGTTTTAATACATATATATCATGGCAGAAGTTGCCAATAAAGGTCAGCAGGGGTCAGCAGGGGCCAGCAGGGGTCAGCAGGGGCCAGCAGTGGGATGTAGAGGCATGTAGAGACCAGCAGGAGCAAGCAGTAACACATAGTAATCGTTATACGTTGTCGGAAGTATCAGGAGTGGTCAGCAGCGGTCAGCAGGGGCCAGCAGAGGCCAGCAGAGGGATGTAGAGGCATGTAGTGGCATGTAGAGGCATGTAGAGGCATGTAGAGGCATGTAGAGGCATGTAGAGACCAGCAGGACCAAGCAGTAACTCGTAGTAATTGTTATACGTTGTCGGAAGTATCAGGAGTGGTCAACAGCGGTCAGCAAAGGCGAGCGGAGGGAGGCAGAGGCCAGTAGAGGCCAGCAGAGGCCAGCAGGGGCATGTAAAGATATGTAGAGGCATGTAGAGGAATGTAGAGACCAGCAGGAGCAAGCAGTAATACATAGTAATCGCTATACGTTGTCAGAAGTATGGGGAATGGTCAGCAGCAGTCAGTAGAGGCCGGCGGAGGACTGTAGGAAAATTGAAAAGTACATGTACTCGTACCTTATACATCGTACTTATTACCTTATACTTCAGGTAAAAAGGGTTATAGTAAAGTATAAAATACCTGGGCAGTCGAGACTTGGAATCGTATGCCGTCGACGTGAGGTCGAACTTCAGTTGTCCAAGAGCGAGAAGGCAAATGTGAGCCTTCCTCTCTCGACTCCCACGAAGCGGTCCGAAGTTACTTCGGGCAGCTTCGGAGAATCGAGAAAGAGGGCATGCGTCAGTTTGCCTTTGTCGACTTTCCGAAACTCCACGAGCTCACGTACGCGTATCTGGCATGTGTGCGTGTGCACCCTGCGGTGCTTTTCTGGCATCTCTGGACGTTGCGAACGGTTTGCCGCAATCTAGTAACTAACTTTTCGTAATATACGCGCCGTGGGACCAGAGTGGGGAAACGTACTCCACGCGGACGTTAGTCTGTTACAACTGTGATATTTTACGATTAATGTTTTGTCCATCAAAGATTAGAAATGTCGTATCATTTTGTAATGCTTGGCGTTGGTGTAGCTGCTGCTTTGTATTTCTATTTTGTTAGACATCGTCCTCAAGAGTATTCTCAGCGCGGAAGTTGGAACTAGTAAGCAGCTTAAAAGGGCATGCGATATCGTTAATCGAAACCGATCGTTAATTGTACAAAGACAACATTTTTCTGCCCTCAGCAATGAAAAATATCATAGAAATGACGAGGAATGTCCAATTTGTTATGAGGTCATGAAACCTGGTAATTACATTACCCTGAATTCTTGTAAGCATGTTTTCCATAAAGTTTGTTTCGGCAACCTCATCCAGCAAAGCGCCGAGGTACGTTATAGGAATAGCTTTATTTTACCTTATCTTATGTGTTGTTGAGAATTTATTAATTTCATTTGGTATTTAATTTTATATCGTCGCTTCGAACATTTCATAGGCGAAATGTCCACTCTGCAGGCAACCGATTTCTTGAAGGAATGCTATTTATTATTTGAGCAATAAACATAACGACTTAAAGAATTTTGTAATTTTAAATAATGTTTTGGAGAATATAATTGAAATACTTTAATCATCCTATTATTACAAGAATAACATGACAAGCAATGGTAAAGTTTCATGTAGTATTAAGGACAAATAAAGCAGTAACCTGTCATAAATTGTAAATATGTTTTTCAACACGTTTGATAAGATGCAGAGTATTATTTTGTTAATATAGCCAGACAAATTATTACCTATGCTTGATATTTATTGTGTATAATAACATTCATTGCCTTTCGGACTATAAATATGTAGATCAAAGTAGATCAGATACCAAAGATTCCGCTTGGTATACCATGTAACGTCCATGCCGAAGTATCTCTTAATAGTTAAGGAGCTTTAAGAAAACTAGGGTTATCTAATTGAAATGATGCCAATGTCTGAATCATTTATTTGTAAATAAAGTTCATAGGTATCGTTATTACAATTATAGTAATAATAACAAGTACTTGTTTCTGGTAATTTGTCTTTTCGCCTGTCCTTTGTTCGTTGTAACATGAATTCAGAATGCGTAATAAAATTGCAAAGATATTCTATAGACACAAAGCAACCTGTCTCTTATTTATACAAGAAGGAAGAAGTATTCCTGTCGCTTAACTAGCAATCGTACATATGTCTGCAAAATTGTTTTTCTTTATTTCTTGATCATAATTTAATAACTGCATACAGGAATCCCTTATCGTATCTGATAAAATTTAAATAGCTAGCACAGTTCACTGTTACAAAGGCACAAGTTTCTTTTCTCTTCCAATAGCGGAAATTTATTCAAACGCTCCAGTTCTATCGTCGAACATACTCTGTTGTTATTTACAAGAAACAGCATTCTCCGACCGCTTTGAAATGTTAGCAGTTATATGTGTTTAGTAAGTTGCAATAAATATTTATATTTTTCTTCTCGTATTGTTTTCTAAAAGTAATCTTTAATAAAGAATTCGGATTTATCATTTGGCCTAGGATTTGGAGCCGAATAAACTGTTTGTACATACATTTTTTGTATCCACAGATGCCGGAGAATAATTTTTTAAATAAAACGTGTACAGATTGGAGAACGCCGCATCGAGCTCGACACGCGTACTGAATTGTTGGAATTAAAGACACCCGTGTTCGTAGCATATAAATACATATTCTTACGTACGTTTCTCGAATGCAACTGTTGGGGGGGGGGGGGGTTATGTAAACAATGAAATCGCGCGTTTATAGACGAAACACATTCGCACAGAACTTATAGTCTAGTGGCTTCTAAACTTTGGAGAAGGCGTAGAAGCTTTAAAAATTTGATGAAAATAAGTAGTTTAAAATAATAAATTTTTATGACCAATGTATTAATCTTTCACAGGCACTCTAGGTTTAAATTATAGACTAAAAGCTTGACAAATCTCGAAGGACTTGAAAATAGATTGGACACATTTTGTTCGTGACCCTAGATTACGTGGCAAATTTAAGTTACTACAGAGTTTGCAAGAAAAGTTACATAGCAATGGTATTTTATGTATTCCGTAATTTAATAATACACAAAATATCATTAATATATAAATTTACCTACAGTATACCGGTAGGATCAGGGTTAATAGAAAGAAATTTTAAGTTATTCGCATCTTTATATATTACAAACTTCCCCGACCCACTGGTCTCCTACCCCTTTTGTATCGTAAGACGAAAAGCCCCCAGCTTTGGAAAACACTGGTATAGGCCGAAAGCTATAGGCCAACGATACTCGATATAAAAGGAACTTAAAAAGAAAACATTAAACGATAGCTCGGACAGCAAACACGGTAATCTAGAAAATATACAAAATACGAGTTTCGGTAGGTTTATTGTCGATAGACACTAGGCTACGAGAAATAAATCGCAAGATCTGGCCCGCAGGCGTTTGGCCGAGAGTATATGCGGAGTCGCGGTACAGTACTGCCACGCTTATTGCATAAATCTGAATCATCCCCGGCCACTGTTCACGTTGTTTCAGCTTGAATGGTCGTCCGTTCGAGGAGCCCAAAGGAGAAACTAAATTTCGATTTTAACACGCGGCGTTGGAACTCGGGGAAAGCCATCGGGACTGTAGTATAATATGTAATTTGATTTAATCGCGAGTATAGAGGGCAGTACTGCATTTTCTTTCTTGTCGTCGATCCAAAGAGGATGCTCTTTTGCTTCGTTAAGATACGAGCTCGTATTCGATAGCTCCCTATGCTTCGGTGCAAATTGATTGTTCGTGTGCAATGTCGTTCGCTTGAATAATTACGACGAAGTATAAGCGTAAGCTTGACGCGAGTTTAATTCCCTGGGATTCTTTTTACCAGAAACCGTTATATATGTAACAAAATCTGTACGATTTTTATTATCAATTTAAATGGTCTTGCTAGCGAGACGCTCCAAAGGTGGTTTCATACCGGACACGAAGGAATTCGTAGTTAGGTGCGTTTGTAGCGACTACGGTGCCACGTATCGGCCGAGTTACGAAACTCTCGGCGATCGTTGGTTCGTTCGACGCGCGAGAGTCGCGAGATGTTTCCTTTATGCTTCCCACGAGGTGTATGAACACTCGAACAGCCGTTTTTTTTTTTCTTTTTTCTTTTTCGAGCAAAATGGCCACGCAAACGTTGCCGAAATTCAGTCACCGATCTCGATCCTCTTCCATACGTTGGTAACTGGCGCGATTTCGACACGCGTGTTCCGTTAAGCGATTACGATTTTAGGACGATTACATTTTAAGGCCAACCACGGGCGCTATCGTTTGTTCTCGTTGCGCGAACGTCGCGATGGATCCAGCGGAAACGTAATGGCGGCTCGTCTTACAAATCGACGTCCTCTTGCTTAGCTTTGGGCGCGATCTTCTCGTCGCTCTCGGACTCTTTTACAACGGCGTGGACGTCCGCCACCTCGACCGGCGGCGGTGCCGCTGGGTGCACGGATCCATCATCCTCCGCGATCTCGAAACCGATCGTAGCGCCAATTTTCTGGCTTGCCTGCCTGAACGAGTCCGACAGCATCACCTAGTGCGTCGATCACAGAAATTAATATGGGGAACGAAGCCCAGTGCTAAGTCTCATCGACTATTTTCGACTCGAGAGTGAGCAGCGTTATTACGTTAAACAAAATTTTTAATTAAAAATAAAAGACCGTTTACGACACCTTCGTAGCTTGTACTATATTTTACCAGACTGGATGAAAATTTATTCGATCGAAAGTAATAAACCTACTTAATTTACGATAATATTACCTATAATTGTTGCTATACCTTAGTCATTTTTAAAAAAAAACTCGTCGCACTCTTAGGCCTAAAATACTCTTCTCAGACTTAACGTTGCCCTCTATATTTTCACCCGATATTGTTAGGATCAGATACCTGTTGTATGACTGATACGGTAGGATAAGAAAAACTGACGAACTTGCATGCTTTACCTAACCAAATGGATGGCAATATGTATGTTAAGTTTAAATTATCTGGTCAGAAATCGACACGTAGGTTTAGAAATTAATGCGTAAAATGATCAGCGAAAAGTATATTCGATCGGGGTAGTCAAACATTCTTTTATCAAATATATGCTGGACTATTTTATGCTGTGCCTGCTAATTGGGTGTTAATAACAATACAAAAAGTATATTACAATGTATAGTACTATTAAACACTGTAAATGAGTCTTTTAATACTAAAAATTATTAAAGATATGATTAATAATGTTTTGTGGCGTACCTGTACGACGTTGATGCACATGGACGTGAGTGCCAGCCCGAACACCAGGTATATTATCGAACACATCATGTATATGGGATGCTAGATCAACCAATCAATCAATCTGTTAATGTCTTGCGCGTCAGATTATGCATGAATCCGCATCGGACGGATTTTAATGTCGCTAAGAAAACACGTGCAACTGTGCTGAGTGAGACTTATGCGAAAAGCACGTACGAAATAGTGTATACGGTGATGTACATTTGTTTCTGTTCTTATTTTTTTTTTTTTTTTTTTTACTTTTTTTTTTTTTGTGATGAACGTTTGGTTTTTCAAAGCTTACCATCTGAACGCCACCGTGAAAAAAAAGCAAGGAAAAAAGTTAATTGTACGTCGATAATGCTCACGAGGATATACGGGCACAGGCGAGGTACACCAGTAGACCTTACATCCAACGTAATTTTTCAGCCCATTTTTATGGGGCGTCAGAGCCCCATTACAATAAAATCGTTATGATTTTTTATATATACGCACGAAATTTCGAGGAACCATCTCTGGCCACACATTTGATTTTCGGTAAGGAATTTTTTCCTCGAAAGTGCGTAGGATTTTGGGGGTATGTGTATTCACGAAAAATGATTGTAATTGACCCCCGCAACTGAAAATAATTTTTCTAAAACGATTTGAAAATTTTTAATTTCGCCGAAAAATTTCAGTACCTACTCGAATTTTTTTCTCGAAACTGCGTAGGATTTCGGGGGTATGTGTATTCACAAAAAGTGTTTGTAATTGACCCCCGTAACCAAAAATAACTTTTTCAGAACGATTTGAAATTTTGTTTTCGTCGAAAAATTTAGGCATCTGCTAAATTTATTTTTGATTTCTAATAAATTCATTTGACGCTATACGGGAATGTTGTTTAGTACTTTGTTGTTGGTATCTATGAGCTCTACTTTAGAAATAAATATCAATGAAAGATTCACTATTGTAGAAGACTATTAGAATCACAGCTATTTGGTCCTCGAATCCCCGAAGCTATACGAAGCGCCAGAGCTCATATACAAGGTCACTATGCATTAGTGTGTGTAAGGAGGGGTGGGGGGCAGTTTACCTTTTTCAATCCCTTCCATAGTAAACTCACGTGTATTTACGCACACTACTAATTCAGTGAACAGTTTCTCAACCGACCACCATCCATGAGAAGAGGACGGCTAAAATTACCTCCGAATTTTCCGGTCGGTCGTGGCGATCTGATTGGGCCATGAAAGTCCATATGGTGCAAAGTCTACTCGTATAGCTCGTCTATGATATCGGGAAGGAGGAGTATCGGACATCTCGATCGGATCTGAAGCAAACGCTAATTGCAAACGAAACGCAAAGTTCTTCCAGCGTTCCTCGATACTCGAAGTTTGCGGAACCAAATTGAAATGAAGATGGCTTGAAATTAGTCGGAAAGTTATTGTACCGGTCGCGACCAGAGATGGGCAAAGTTCGAACGTATCTGGAGCAACGAATAAAAGATAAATAACGTCACGTTCGTCGATCGATTGGAAATTCGTCCTCCCGGTCGGTGTTCGTTTGCTCCAACGACGCCTGTTAAGCGTACGAAACACGATCCGTATTTGTTATCCGTCGTTGAGAACTAATTGTCGCTGGTCTCTGGTCGCGACGAAACGATCCGATATCTGAGAGGGGCGCATAAATGAGCACGATAACGGGCGGCGTGCTAATCGTAGAAGACGTTGGTCACCTTTGGCACGTAATCGCCGAAGCCGATAGTGCTCATGGAGATGAAGACGAAGTAGAAGCTCTCGAAGAAGCCCCAGCCCTCCGACAGGCAGAACAGCGTGGCGCCGATGAAGATGTAGCTGAGGAGGATGAAGATGGCCAAAGAGATGGGCAGATTGAACTCGTCGTCGACGGCGAAGGCCGACATAGCTGGCGTGCCAGGCGTGTCAGGAACGTTCCCGTCCAAGTTCAGGACCGTTTGGGACTGTTGCGCTTGTTTCTGCATCTCCTCGATATCCTCCGGATTTATTTGCGACGGCCTCTTGAACGTTGCCAGGTCGTACACCAGTTGGACGCCCTTCATCACTTCCTGCGGTTCACGGTTACAATTGTAGAAGAAAATGAGAGCCAGGTGACAAACAGGGCGGAAAAAAAAAATGGAGAAATTGGGGAAATTCCATTTTATAGCTAGTATGTGATTTTTGTCGAGGAATACTCGAACCTTGGTTAAATAATATTTACTGTACGTAGGAATATCGGCCATTTTGGGGGCAAAATTTTAATGGGAGATTCCGGGGGGCAAAATAAGACGAAAATGAAGAGTAGCGATTTGTTGATCGAGGCTTCGTTAAAAAGTTATTGACGTTCAAAGTTCCGCCTGTGAGACGGCGACCGTGCACGCTGCACATTTGAACTTTAAACGTTGATAACTTTTTAACGAAGCCTCGATTAAAAAATCGCTATTCTTGATTTTCGTCTTATTTTGGTCTCTAGAATCTCCCGTTAAAATTTTTTCCCAGTATGTTACGATTGGAACATCAGGTATATCAAGATACGTAACTTTCAGTTTAATCTATCTTCGTTATCTGAAGTCCATAACCTTCTATATTTTCAAGTTTCACTTTCACGAAAGTTGCCAATTAAAAACTATTTCTCAAATAAATTTTATCAGTCGTTGGAAACTTTTCTTACCTGTACAGGTACAGTTCGACGGACTTTGCGGCAGCTTCCTGTGTAGTACAGCCTTCTGACGAACGCCCAGAGGAACTTTATACCGCGGGTGAACAGTTTGCCGAAGTCAGCCAGTATTATCAGGAACATCGGGATCCCGAAGATCGCGTAAACAATGGTAATGGCCCTTCCGGTGCTGGTACTGGGCGAAATGTGCCCGTATCCTAAAATAAAATCAAGCATCTTTAAAAATTCCATAGGCAGAGCTTCCTAATTCGATCTCGACGCAAGCAAACGACGATTAAAATGTTTTATCGTTAAACGAGTACAATTTTGAATAATCTTGTATGATTTCTAATAAAGAATAAATTAAACGAAGTCTCAGAGATTTCTTGGATCGCTTAAAAATTGTCCACCCCAACGATACTATATTTGTTAATATTATATCGAAATAGTATATTTTACTGTTGCAATACGAGCCAGGAAATATCGTCTTAGTAATAAAAAAAAATGATGATAATTAATTGATAGTATCGAGCGTTCGATCGTTGAGTCGATTTAGACTCGTTAACACCGAAATGGGATAAAAAATAGATTTAGAGGCGGCAAGTGTAGGGTGGGAGTTGGCCTGACTACTATAGCCGCTTCGGTGATACAATTTGGCGGTTGTTTGGCCGTAAACCGATCGCGTCCCGTTTCGGATAACAGATGGTAATTGCCGCGATGTGGCCATTGATCAAAACAAATCTATTTCCGAGTTGACCATCCGCGTGAACAGTTTCGATCAAACGCGATGCATCAAGGTCGATCACGCTAATTATCTAGCAATTAATTGTGACGCTCGTATGTCTCGTTGAAATCAACGACTGGAAATTGAATTCCGGTTAAAGCTGTTCCCGTCGCTTTACCGGCGCCCTTAATTAAATCTCGCGTACGCGAGACCCTTAAAGAATTTATGCAGATTCCTCGAATATTAAAATTCGTGGTTAATATTAACGCGACCGTTCAAGTGCTCGTACTTTCGTGCCATTATATTCCATTTTGTTTTGCCTGTAGGTATTCTTCATAGTATCACGATCGAAAGACGTAACCTATAATTCCCTGTTTCCCGTGAACGTTTTCCCTCGCATTGCAGGGTGCGCGCGCATCGAACACCTAACACCGACAGCGCGCCAGTAGGCAGCCACCAGCATCAGAGCGTAGATGTATTTTGCCTCTCGTAAAATCAATACTGACTTCTCGTAAAACGTTTTTACGGCTACCATATCGACTCCGGATTCCCCCTAAAACTACGGGCATCCTTGTCCCTGTAACGCGTCGTCTCACCGATGGTCGTAATAACGGTCAAGCAGTAGAGGACGGCGTTGAGGAAGGACCAGCTTCTCTGGCCGCTGTACGTCTGCACGCCCGCCTCGTGAGCGGTATGCAACTGTTCCTCGAACTCCATCAGCTTCTTCCGCGCCATGCTTTTCCAATCGTCCTCCCTCAGGTTGTGACTGTAGTTCCACAAACTGTCCAGAAAGTCCCGCTTGACTCTCTTGACCCCGCACTTGTAGAAGGCCTCGAAGGCCCCCTCGGTGAACCGGAAGATAAAGGCACCCAGACCGCAATATATCATCACCAGCATCAGCTCCGACAAGCAACGGTTCCTGAGGCTTCTCATGATCCTAGTCTCCCTAGGGTTCTGCGACACGAAAGCTTTGAATTCCGAGACCACGTCCTTCAGAGCTTTCAGGAAGTCCAGGATGGTGACCTTCTCTGGAGGGTCCGGCTCCGTTGTCACCGGTTGCACCTCGAGCTCTACGGTTTTCTTGCGGAAGAAGGGCAACCAACGGAACCAGGATCTCTTCTCGAGCTTCCCGGACGTCTCGATGGACTTTTCGATGCTTTCCTGCTCGGTGTCCGCGAGGGGCACGCTGAACTTCCTTCGTCTGAGCGTCGACTCCTCCCGAGCGTCCTCGAAAACGTCAGGCGTGTCCGGGTCCAGAATACTCTGCTCTCTTCTCAGGTATTCTCTCTGAGCCTTGGCAAAATCTTCTATGAGAGACTCGTTGCTCAGGGGAATGATCTGTTTCTTGAAATCGGAGGCGGATCTCTTGATGGGCAGCTCCTCGGTCGCCTGCACCGGGAAACTCTCGCTCTTCCTCATTTTCGGATCCTCGTCGGTGTCGTCGGTCTGGCTGTGCCTGATGGACCGTCTCCTCTCCGGTCTCGGTTGCCCGTCCGTTTCCTCGAGCCTCTGTTTGCTCGACCTCTTTTCCCTAGGCGGTCTCTCGACGCCGTCTTTCTTGGCAGCATCGAGGTCACCGACGATCCTCTTCGCGGTGCTCTTTTTCACACCGACTTTTCCGCCTTCGGGCGACTTGGTCCTCCTTTGATGCTTCTCCAGTTTCTCGTCCGCGTCGCTGGAGTCGGTGGACTGACTGAACCGGCCAACCCTCTCCCTCGACTTCTTCTTCGGTCGTCTCTCCAGTTTCCTACGGTCGGTCGTTCCGTCCCCTTCTGTCTCCTTGGTTCTGGCCGGGCCCACCTCGAGCTTCTCCCCCGGCGCACCCTCGTTCTTGGTGTCCCCCAGTTTCGGTTCCTTCCTTACCGGCCGCGCAGCCTCGTCTCGGGCGTCGTTATCACGTGCTTGCGAGCCGCTCGAAACGGAAGCCCCCTCGTCCGCGGCGCTGGCCAACTTGGACGGGCTCCTCTTCTCTTTCCTCGCCACGGTTTCTTCCGTGTTCGGTCTGGCCTCTTGCTCCGCTCTCTCGGCGTCGTCCGCCATCTTCTCCATTCGTGCGCGCCTCGCCTCCTCCTCGTCGTCCGACGTCTCGACCAGCTGCTGGTTCCTCGAGGACGGGTCGGGCGTCTTCTCGCGCCTTCTCGCCGCCGCTTTGCGGCGTCTGTGCACCGTGTAGCTGTCCTCCATCGCGGTGATTGCTGCGGCCGATTGCACCGGTGTCGCGGTACCGGAAGACGAACGTACGCGTGGATTGCACGGTCTGGTGACTGGTCGCCGCGGCGTGCCGACGCGCTACGCTCGCCGCTTTGCCCGATTGCGTCTTTCCTGGCCCCGGTGCAGAGGGACACGCGAGACAGAAATAAAACAGAGGTTGCTCCCACCACCGACGCGACGACGGTCGAGCCCGCTACCAGCGGGACCGGATGGTTTTGCCGCAGCGGGTATCGAGCGTGGCCTGGTGGCCGCCCCGCGCGAATCGCGCGCAACACGGGGGTCGTCGACGCTACGGCGTCGCGGTGCCGCACCTCCAGACGCCGCAACACGTTTCGACGCCGCCATCCCCTCCTGGCTTCTTACTGCTGCAACACCTGCCGGGTCCACCGAAGAGCGTGGCTCTCGGGACTCGTTATCGAGGGGCCAGAAACCAATCGAGAACTTCCATGATTTTAACGCGTGGGGGAGCAAGTGGTCTAAAACCCCGATTTAGTTGATGTTCCCCGACAGGACCATTCCGAGCGAAAGCCACTCGCCTCGCGTTCACGCCGAGGCCTCTCAGACTCTGAACAAGTTGAGTACAGAGTGTGCAACAGAGTTTTCGAAATTAGACAACGAACGAATACATCGAAATATTGATTATTTATTAATATTTATTCATACCAAAGAAATTAATAATAGATAAATGTACACTTCCGGTAGTTGTAGCGTTGAATCAGTTTGTTTGGTGGTCGTAACCATGTGCCAATTCTGTAGCCTAGAACTGTGTTTGGAGGTTAGGACGAAAGTTGGCGATTGAAATTCGAAAGGAAATTTCAAGAAGAAATATAAAACTCGGGAGCCTAAAACACCATCCTTTTCCTTTCGACTGTTGTTCGAATTAAATTTTGTCGATATCTGGTACCCACTTTGTACAGGACTCTAATCGTTTCGTATCACGCTACGCCCCTACGACGCCACGGCAGCAAATCGACGCTTGCGAGCACCCGTCGCGCCCTTTCAACCGTCCCTCGTTGCCATCATCGTTTCTATCCCATAAATTTATCGTCGAATGCTTTCAGCGTACTTCAGTTCTCAATTCCGGCGCTCGGTTTTGTCTTTCTCGTGCACAAACAGTCCGGCCGCGTTCTTTCAACAAGTTCCTTCGCGCATCAAATTTTCAGCATCCCTTTCATACTTTTCGCCGTCTCTCGTTTCAATTTGTGCGTCGCGTTCGATACGTGGAAAAACATGAAACCGGTACCGTACCCATTCCGGAAGTTGACGCAGCTGGTTGTTTAATCCGTCAGCGAGAATTAATTCTTCCGTATAAATCGCGAAACTTTCCAGCGAGAGAACTTACCGTTTAAACAACCCGCGAAAAGGGGGGAGAGAGAGAGAGAGAGAGAGGAACAAAACTGATTTAATACCTCGCTGAATGCCCTTTATTGATCTAATTTCTCTCGTTCGTTTATCGCGCGTGGTAAACACGGAACTTCGTTACAAGTTTCTCTTAGTCCCCGGAGTTTGTTATTTCCCCTCCATTAACATTCGTCCCCAGTCGGCACAAGCATTCCTCTCGAAACATTCTCGATCGTTGGATTGTTAGTTTTTATTCGAAACACAAGTAAAACTGGCAGAGCTTTAGAGAGAAAGCGAGTATTAACACTTTAAGACCGTTGTCCGTCACCACTGATATCGCAGACAAAAGTTAGATACACGAGAAGATGCTACGAATATTATTATAAATGTAACCTCAACAAACGTAATAAGTTGAATGTATGATAAAATGGTGACTGATACCGGTAGATCACGCACACGTGACAGTGGCCAACGTCTACTAGCTCGCGATGTAGTAAAGTTAACCTACAAATACGTGTCGCGATCCCCTGAAACTGTCGGGGCATTTTTTTATTTCAATGGTCAGAAGACCGAAGCTCCGCGAATCTAGAATACAAAGTCGCCAGGGCACGATCTCTAATTCAAAGAGTCCCAATTCGCCGACCTCGCAATTTCCTTTTGTTTTGCATCCGCGACGCCGACGCTAGGCCGGGATATTTTCATTACTCCGTGCAGCGACGTTGCTTTGTCACTTTCGCAGTAAACGAAAAACAGAACGTGCAGCTGGTAATATTCTGAAAAAGAAATTTGTAAGAATGGATACAAAGATTGAATAGACGGTACCGGGCATTTGAAACGTTTCCTTCGTATTTTCGGCCATTTCAATTCATCACGTAGGTACGTATAATCGGTGCCGGTATAAAATGTTTATTTCGTTAAGAAAGAAATTTGATACGCAATTGTTTCCGATCCGTTTTCACGTTTCCATTGTTACACGCCCGTTGAACCAGCCGAGTTCATCGTTGAATATCAGAATCACGATATACAATTTTTGTTCCGGTTTCGGTCATCAAGATACAATTCCATTTGATTCCGATAAATCTGATGCTATCTGACGGAATTTATTTGTCGCCAATATCCCGTGTAACGCAATATTCGAACCTGTTTGAGGTTAGGTTTGCGTGCTCTAAAATTGTTTGTAATAAGCTTTTAATTGTGAATATATGACAGAAAAGAACAATTACGCGATCTATTACTATTACACGAAACACCTATCATCAGTTTCGTTTCGGTTGTTTTATTTGTTCGGTAAACGTAGTAGATCTGTCACACATCACGCACTTATTCATTCCTTTCACCGTTGCCAGCTCTTATTTATTGCACTGCTGGTTTCCATTCAGTCGTCATTCGCACCAACCGATCGGAAACAATTATTACCAACAGAACCGAATAACCCAGAGCAGATAAAAAGAATAACGGAAGAGAAACGCGTTGCTTGGTGAGTTTGGTCGAAAGGTTGGACGAAACGGATTCTAAGATGAGCGAAAATAAAAGTAAAACGTGACAACATATTTTTTTGGACAGCCACCAAAAGTCCCACGCGTTTATGCAGACACGAACTCTCGAAATAAAGCGTCCAGTGGTCGCGTCGGTTTCTGTGTACCAAAAATTAAACAGGCTGTGACTAATTACAATGTTCCTAAACCGATATAGTGATTCATCGTTGGTAGCAGCCCCGGAGGGGATCGAAAGCACATTTACGGTAAACGATTCTACAACTTTTCTATCTCTTACTGTCTTTTGTATTATTAGCTTTAAAGTCGTTCAATGTCACGATATTATTAGGTTGGAACCGTTCGAATAAAATGCAGAAAAAGCGAAGATTATGGTAGAAAGCACAGATACCACGTTGAGCTTTGTAACATCTTCGCTGAAATTTCTCGATATTTCACATTTTTCATAGTTGGAACGCTTACCGTGCATCGTTCGGGATGTCTCGGTAAATCGCGAATATAAAATGCATGAAAGATAAAGGACGAGCGTCGAGAGTGCTCGTAGACGACAATACAGGGTGATTATAGTAACTGGACCAGGCCATTTTGTACGGTTTAACGGCAGTGCATTGATCCTAGGATACGATTTTCTGCCTACTTGCACGATAGCATTTACAAAAACAGAAATAGAACTGTCTGATTTCTTTCCATAAATTAACTTCTATAAACAAGTTTAAAACAGTTTACTAATAGTAATTTTGAATGACGTATACTTTGAATTTATTCCCGAGAGCCTTAACAATAACACGTGTGTGGTATCTTTTTGTCCGGGAGCGTGGTCGTCGCGTAAAATATTACGTTTAACGCGAAACAATAACGTTGAAAATCGCGCGGTAAGTTTGAAACAGAATCGACAGGCGAAACAACGCGAAACGAAGGACGCTTCGCGGACTGGTGGGCAATTTAATTCAGTTCTCGTGCAATCCCTTCTGCGATGATTCTCCGAATAGCTTTCGCTGTTTCCGCGACAGTTATCGTCCCGACGACGCGACACAGTTAACGAACAACCCTCCATTATAGCGGCGAACAAAACGCCCCCCCCTGAGCACATCGAACACCGCTTTATTGCAACACTGAATTACCGTACTTTCTGCTCGATTATTATTTCTAACGTTTCCTAAACAGAAACGATGAATTTTCGTTGGTTTATTTCATTGAAAAATAATTGGAAGATAAAATCAGAAAGCCTCGTTTCTATCGGGAACTATTTACAGATTTCAAATCGATGGTCACTTAGATACCTAACCCTCTTTCTTGAAGCATGCTCGAGAAAAGACACCTTGGTCGTGATTTCGAAAGCCGTGGCGCCTCGTCCTACGGTTCTTCTTTTTCGTTACGTAATGTTTCCGTCCACTAGAAATAGTGTCATGCGTGGGCACATTTTGTCGGCTCTCGAAGAATCTCATGCACGCGCGTAGATTCGTCCTCTTGTATAAGATACGTCTCGTCGAATCTACGCTATACCACCGCTACAATTTTTTAGAGTTTCGTACGTATTAATTAACGATTTCTAAATATTAATTGTATCGCGCAAAACCAGGCGAAAATTAATGAATTACTTTTGTGGCGTCGCCTCCCGTACTCGCCACCAGAGGGCTACGCTCTTATTACTCTCGCAAGCGATCGACTGACCCTCTCACTCTTATAGCCACGATATAGCAAGGTAGTAAACTAAACCTGTAAGGCCCGGCAGAGTGTGTATACTAGGTATTCCGTAGATGCATTTAAATACATTTGTATTATGTTAGTTTTCCAGTTATGCCTTAAGATATGTTTCGAGAGGGAAGTCTCTCGAGGCGAGCTTCCGTAAATATCGATTCGTAAAAGCTACGGGTTCCTGCAGTCTGCTGTGTAAATCAATTTAATGGCATCGGGAACAACCACAGCCTTGTCGAAGGCCTGTATCCGAGCGACGGGACGCGAAAGATGCAAAGGGTGTAGAGGGGAAAGCTCGAAAAAGGATGATCGCCACTTTATCGGAAGCGGCCGTGCTATGTAGGTCACGAATTGGTACATCAAGAGACGGGTAAAGATTTCTCCTGGAAAACAAGGAAAATCGTCTTTGAACCGTGCCTCGCTCTTTGGATATCCAAAGCAAACACCAATTCACGCGTGCTTGCGAATTCCTAGAGAGTACGTGTTGCCTGAATTATGCGATTGTCTGTTTTTAAATATATTTTAAAAAATGATTATTTCTTTCCACTGTAGAGGAATTTAATTTCAGTTAATTGAGA